CACAGACAAATAATTGTTTGTGCAACATGAAAATATTGTATGTGTACACAGGCACTGCACATATATTGATTGATTTGCAAGTTGATGTCAGTGTCAGACGGTTGTCAGCGTACTTTTTATAAAAAAGTAAATGTCTGTGGACACAGACAAAAGTTGTTTGTATACACAGACAACTCTTGTCTGTGACCGACATTTTGTGTACAAGTTGTGTACAACTTGTGTACTCCTAGCATGGTTGTGAAAAATTTTACGTAGTAATCAGTAAGTTTTAAAGCAATTGTTATATCGTGATCCTATTTTGAGCATGGTGCTCCACTGACTAAAACACGCGTTAATAATACGTAGTATTTTTTTGGGGAAATTTGACTTTGCATCCCACTTTTTGGGTGATATTAGACTTTGCACCCAATTTTCAAAAAACTTTGATTTTTCACCTCAACACACAACATTTGTTAAGAAAATTTTCTAAATGGGGTTCAAAGTCAGAGAAATTTTAAGTGAATGCGGTGCAAAATCAAAGTTTTTTGAAAATGGGATGCAAAGTCAGATATCACCCAAAAAGTGGAGTGCAAAGTCAAATCTCTCCTGTTATTTTTGTCCCAATAACAGAGTGATGTAACTCACATATAAGGAAATTTAACTCACATTCAAGGGCGGCGTAGGTCATACGCCAAAAAAAAGAAAATAACTTATCCCAAATTTAATTCTTTATAATAGGTGTGAGTAGATTGGTTTTTCAGCCCTAAACTAGTATTTTTTTGGGTGAAATTGTTTGAGGTCTTTTAGAGTGGAATTTTTTGATAAACTTTTATATGTATGTTCTGTATGAAGTCTAGATTATATACACAAAAAATTCAGTTTAAAATTCAATCTATAAGTCAGCTAAATAAATTATTGGAAAATGCTACGTTTTTATGTATATTTAGGCCATAATATACTCTTGAGGAAGACATGCTCACCAAATTTTATAAAACAATTCCACTTGGAAGTAGATTAGTTTATTGATTGATAACTTAGAGAAGAAGAATGATTTAGCTATAAAAGATGAAACGATTCTGAATGCTGACAATTGGAGGGGGGATTTTGGAATTGATAATATTATTGATTTAGATAGAGAGTTTAATGATTTTATATAAACGTCAAGTTTGAATATTATTATTATCATTATTAATATTAGGGAAAAATAATAAAATACTACAAACTTTAATGGGGTGTGAAGTAAGCACCCCAAACTTGCGTATGTAATTTAAATACCCCAAACTTCATATAAAAAATTATTTTCACACCATTGTCATGTATGATTTCTTTCAAATATGTAAATTTATGGGGTTAACCGCATAATATAAAATAACAAATTAAAAGTGTTGCAATTATATAGATTTCGGGTAACATTATTTATTTTGCAATGGAAGGTGTGAAATAAACACCATAACCTTACATTTTGAAATAAGTAATATTTGACTATGGTGCCAAAATAACTTTTTATATAAAGTTTGGGGTATTTAAAATACATGTGCAAGTTTGAGGTGTTCATCTCACACCCTTCCAAAGTTTAAAGTATTTTTGAATAATGACTAGAGTAGTAATAAAATCATAGTAATTTATGTTCATTTAAACTTATGTTACCATAAGACTACATTATAGTAACTATTAGTCATATTTATGTAAACAAATTTCATTTAAGTAATATTTTGAAAAGCCCCTTCGTAATTTGAAAGTTATAGGAAACTGGCTTCTCAAGCGCGGCCTTAGAAATTGCATCAAACACTTGTATTAAATTGAACATTTATGCAATATTTTCTAAAGAATGTTATATAAGAACACAAAGGCAATTTGATGAGAATTGGGATAATGTGTGTTATAATGTTATTTCCCAATCTGCACATGAATCGTTTAGATTTAATTATTTGTTATGCATCATTGATCAAGCAAAAACATCACTCACCACAAGATTTGAACAATATCAACAATATGAGAATATATTTAGATTTGTATTTACTTTTAAACACTACTAGAAAAATGCCTTACAGTGACACCAAATTAGTGTCACTGAAAGTTTCTGTGACACTAAAAAAGTGTCAATGAAAGTGGGATTTAGTGACACTTTTTAAGTGTCACTAAAAGTGTCACAAAATTGTGACACTATCGTATCACCAAATTATGACACTATGGTATCACAAAACTTAATGACACCACAATATTACAAAAGTCAATGACACTACGACATCAGAAAATTCAATGACACTACGGTATCACAAAACTCAATGACACGCTAGTACTATGAAAGCATACACATAATACATTGATTGCAGTACACACACAATTTAATACTAATAAATAACCAAAATTTCAAACATTTTTATTATATCTAAAATTCTCACATACATGTGAATGTACATACTACATTATTAAAAGGGGCATACCCCGCAACAAAAAATAATAAAGAACAAAAAGCTACTAGATCTCTGGTACACTTGTCATTACAGAGGCAACTATTTTGGGCAATGAAGAGGCAACTGTAACTTCTCCAGCTCCTAGATCACTGGTACACTTGCCATCTGGAAAATTTCCGGTCAACACAACTACTCTGAAAAAAAAGCCAAGAAAAGCATTTTCACACAACGAAATAAAGGATTGGAAAAATTCTCACCCCTTTTTGCAAAATAAGGTTTGATTTGCTCATATGCAGGAAATTGGATAGCAACGTGACTGACCCCAGCCAAAACTCCCCAGATAACTTCAATCAGATATTTCTTCACACAAAACTCTTGTCTCATATACAGATTTGAGGCTTTAAATAGTCATCAAAATACAAATATTTTCCCTATAATTATAAGGCAACCAAGAGGAGTTGGATTCAATAACCTCACCAACATTACTCAATGCGAAGAAAAGTGTTCCCATAATTACTAATGCAAACCTCTCGAAAGAGGTCTAGAGCCACCTGAAATAAATGTAGTAGCAAATTTTTGCTCTTTTTGGATTGAAATGAATTTGGGTAAATAATTTGATACATAATGTTTGGTGATTTATCATTTATTTGATAGAATCAATCTAAGCTAACTGACACTTTTGCTAATATCCGAGCGGGTTGTTTGATCACATATACTTTTTATAGTTTTATTTTTACTACTAATGCTACGAAGTATTATTTTCTGATGGTAACCTATCTATTTTAACTATTCTTTATAATACTAATTGGACTCACTAGCTGCTGGGCATACAGAATTGGCTAGCAGACTAGCCCTACTAGAGTACTAGACATCTATTATCTACGTACCTATAACATCCACAAATTTGATGTTTCGCATTATATGGTTATGTTTTTGTCTTAAACTTATCGCTTACATTTTCCTTATTTGCTTTTCACTTTTGTTGTTTCAAACTCATCTGTAAAGAGTTTCTAGATTTTGCATTTTGGGAATGGGTTCAGTACCCTCTCATTTCAGATAAGAGGACTAAGCCTAGCCCGGAAAAGCAGACATTTAAAATCAGAACTGAACCTAATCTAAAATGACTGAAAATTTTCTACAAATTTAACATTTTCAAAGAAGATGAAATTTCTACACATTTAAAAATTGCTTTCCCAACATAATCGTTTATAGCCTTAACTAAATCAAATCAATAAATAAATAAAAATTAGCACTCTTACTTGAAGAACAGCTAGGAGGAAAGACGAAAGAGCAGCTTCTGATCCGTAACAATGTTTTGATTGCAGGATAAGAACTATGCATAGAAAGTAAAAGGGTGAAAACCTGAAAATAAATGATATTTTTAAATTGCAAATAGAGATTGTGTTGTAAATAAGACAAAGCTTAAACAACAGATTTAGTATTGCCAAGTATTGGGTGGTAAATATCAAAGACCTCCCTTTGGCGAAAATAGAAAATCGGAAAGATTACTATTGTCAACGAAATGGAATGCTCCTGCACCAATAAATTAAGTAATGAGATAAATGCTTAAACATAACCAACACATTGTTAAACGAACTGCATATTATTATTATTATTACGGAGTTTTATTCATCTATTCATCTAGTTTGGCTGAGGGATACATTGAGACCTATACAATTAATCTGATCTTTTTACCTTCTATCAATAAGCTACTTCATTCATGATTTTGAATGATTAAAACCACTTATTTTGAAACCAATTTTCCAGAAATAAACTACTTCTTCAAATGAGTAAATCCAGAGTTTTAGTACAGAGCATGTCAATGTTATGTTCTACTCATCTATAGTCCAAAAAAGCTGCTCAAACTTAAAATTCTCTAAAACCTAATTGATGCAGTTCCACTTTAAAAACTAGGAAAAATAAGCATACTCAAATATATATGTCCTTACCAAGATAGTAACTTTTTAAGCAAACTAGCAGCTATATATGGCCTTACCAAGATAGTTTCATTGGACATCAGCAAAGCCTAAGAGAAGATACCAATACTAGGGAACCTACATGCAATTAATTAACCATTTTATTACCTTAACATATATAGATATTAATTAAGATTAACTCAAATTGAACTTTTTTTATCGATAAAATGCTCTATTTTTTCATTCTACAGTTAGAAGAGTACTTTTACCCAGGGCTTTTGGTGGTTCTCTTCTATAAATTGGTTCTCTTCTGAGAAGATTCAGAAAAAAAGAAAATAAAAAACTATGAAAAATCTAGGAAGAAGATAGAAGGGGAAAAATAAAGTGGGTGGGTTCTCCTGAAAGAACGCAACCACACAAGTCCCAAAAACAAAAATTTATATTTTCACCCTGAAACCAATTTCCTCTATCCAATTACCTGCGTTCCTCTTAAGCATATGATTGTGGCTAACATGGTGAGCTGAACAAAGGACTGCTAGCACTCTTTTAACCCGGGGTCGGGCTTGCAGCATTGTGCCAATTGTTTCTGAGCCCAATTAGCAAGACTTAAAGATTTTTCCTGATGATTATCAAATTCGTCCCTCAAGTGATACCACCATAACAGTAACATCATTGTGGTACTTCCTGCAGTCTCCTTGTGGGATGTCAAGCAATTCATGAAAATCCATCACAGCTTTCTTGGCAGCACGGAATAAAAGTTCCTCAATCAAGTGCTGAGCAGGATCTCCATCGGGACATTTCTCCATAAAATCTTCAACATGAGAAACAACCTCTTCATTGCTCAAATATTGGTATAAACCATCAGAAGAGAGCACTAAAAAGTGGTCTTTGGGGCAGAGTCTATGGTGACGCAGTGAAGGTATACAAGAAATGTAAGGTGTTTGGCCAATATACTCATTGCGAAACATTTGCAGTAGTGCATCATTCAACTTAGGCTGTTTCAGGAAGCCTGCCCCAAAAGCTCGAGTGACCTTTAAGCGACCTTTTACTTGCTCATTAACAATGCAGTTACTATCATCAGGGTGTTCATTCCGGATTCTAGTAACCTCTTCTTCGATGCTAGTGCTATGATCAGTTGACAGTTACAGTGCAGTCAAACGCACATTTTGAGCCGAATCTTCTAAAATGCTCTCTCCAGCAGCATAAAGTGAACTGGAAATAGGTACTTAAGAACTAGACTGAGCCACTATTGCCCGGCTTTCTCCAATATTCATCACATACACATCTTCGTCCCTCATCAAAACAACCAACAAGCAAGAACCCATCAAGGCAAGCTCTGGGTACCTATCAAGAACCCTTTTAGTCATATCTAAGTAGGCAAGTTCGGACACTTCAAGAGCTCATGGCATTGCTCTTAGAACCAAGTCGTGATCGACAGGACCAACCTTGTGTTTCTCATTTCTAACAGCTCTTTCCTCTTCAACTCTATTAATCCCCTCCTCCACTTCAACTCTGTCTTTCCCCTTGCAGCCCAAATCTCCAAGGGAACAATTTCTTGCTCCTCATGTGCTTAGTCAACAATCCTTGTTTCAACTTTGATAATAACAAAGACCTACCCACTGCAAAACCTGCATTACTTACACTGATTGCATCATCTACTGAAAAGGCAAATCATTCCGGACCAGAAAGATCAAGCCCATGTTTAGTGACTTCAGTCTCATCCTCAGCCAGAAACGCCCACAATCTCCTCCTCCTAATCTCGATCTCAGTACACTGAAATGTCATCTTCTTTGCTGATCCATGAGTTTCTGGCGTCTAAAAATGAAGAGGCTTCCGTACACCAATGACAATAACAATTAAAATTTGTATGGATATATTATCATGAATATTTCATTGTAAATTCCAATATTGTGGATATATTATCATGATTATTGGCGAATCAAAATCTCAAGGGAAATGAATGGTTAAAGGAGTTAGGGTTGATATCTCAAGCTTTCAATCTGAGAAAGCCCCAAATTTTCAGGTGGATTAAGCTGGCAAGACCTCAGGTGAAGCTGAACTGGGCGATATTCAGGTAAAATGGGAAATCAGCGGTTGTATTCTAGCTTCGTGAGCACTCCGGAGCAATATTTGCAGCGGATGGATTTCCTTTGAGCGGTTCGTTAGTGCGAGAGGAGGAGGAATTTCAACAGGCACTGCGGCGGTCTGAAATGCTTGGGTTTCCTAAGACGATGGCGAAGCCGAAAAGACGGCCAAGGAATCGAAGGAGGCTACAGAGACAACAAGGGAGCGAAGGCGGCGGCGATCTGCTGCCCCGTTGAGGAGACGATCTGCTGCGCGCTACTATGTTCAAGCGGTAGAAGAGGGGAGCTGAGGGAAAAAAATGCTTGATGCTCCGTATAATAAACTCTAGCAGGCCGGCCCGTAAGTAATACTCCGTATCAATAGTGACGCGGGCCTTTAAATATACTCCGTAAAAAATGAAGGTGTCACTACATGATGCTTGATGCTCATGTATTTTTGTTAGAAAAGAGTGACACTTTTATGTCACTGATGTCATTTTATCAGAAAGTGTCACTATAAAAGTGTCACTTTAAGCCATTTTTCTAGTAGTGAAAGAGTGGCGCTCATTAAATAAAATCATAATAGTAGTTTAAAATCATGTTGCAGCTGTCTTGAAACATCACTTAATAAGGATGAATAGTCAGATTGATGGAAATGAATTATATGTTAAATTAAAGTCACTTCACATAATTTTTTCCCAAATGGATTGAGACTATGGGGTGTATTGATATCTTGAAAATTTTAAAACGTCTTGATTGCTTCCCTAACGTAGTTATTGCATATAGAATTTTGTTGACCATTTTTGTTACTGTTGCAATTGCATAACGAAACTTTTCAAATTTGACTAGTGCTAAAGTCTTACATGCGCTTTACAATGACACAAGATACATTTAATGGATTAGCTTTAGTTGCAACTGTGAGCGATCTACTGGAGAATTGAAAATTGCATATGAAAACATTATCGAAGACTTTATTTTAAAAAATCTTAGAAGGATAACATTATTTAAATAAGCGCAATCAAAATTCAAAATATTGGATGTGATTTTGATGCTATTGGCAATTACTTGAATATGTACATGCAATTTCATCTGTGTTAAATATTTGTCCCACACCAGAAAACTATAAAATAATAAAACACTACTTTATAAGCTTTTGGGCTACTCCACCTATCATGTTGATCTTTTAGGATGGAACCGCAAGTCTTAACACCAAAAGCTCATTCTGATAAGAGGAATAACCTAAAGCCTTATATAGTGTTTTATTGCTTTATAGCTTTCCAGTGTGAGACAAATACTTTAACACGCTCCTAAGCTCGGATCGGACTAGGCAATATCATGGTGTATAAATGGGTCAAACAGACCCTTAACAAGCTAACCTTAATCATGAGTGCTAAAAAAGCAGTCAAACCACAGCGGACTTGGCTCTGATATTATGTTAAGACCCGATGTTCTATTCTTAAAGGTCAACCTGATAGGAGGAGTACCTCAAGATTGTTTTATCTTTTGCGCATTTTTGAACTTGCTTCCGAACTGGACATCCGACGACCATGGTGCACCGGTAATGAGCTCGAGGACACGGGTTTCCCTTTGCCATTTTATGTCCATATGTTCTCCATTGTCAACCATTGGTGATCATGGGAGCCACAAGTCGAGCTCTATCAGAGACACGTGCTTTCCTCATGGTGGTCTTGGCTGCGCCTGTCGCTCCACCCGTCAGACAAAGATAACGAGGCACGGCGGGTCTCCTTATTCGCGTCCCCTGCCACTACTTTCCCTACATTTATTTCTTGTTGTTGCATTAAAGTCATCATATGAAATCTATAGTGAAGTGTAATCATTCATGACCTTATTCAACGCGTGCCGTAAACGTAGGTTTTCTGTGTCACTCTTTTTTAGTTCAACTTGTACAACAACCAACTAGCTTTTAGCTCTTTTGTCTTCAGAATTAAGCGAATAGTCGTCTTCAACTATCCACTCATCACTTTTTGTGTTTGTGGTGAGAAGATGCAATCTAGTGTTAATGGGGGAATCTTTAACGCCTTCGTCGGCGATGGGTCTTGGGTGGTAGCTGCGGCTGCTTAATCGGAATCTTGTTGGTAGGAAAAGAAGTCCATTTCGTCTAAGATGGTTCTTCTATTGTCCTCTTCTTCTTGATGATGATGGTGGTGGTTGTTGGAGTAGAGGTTGACCTTTTAGGATGGAACTCCGGTATCAGAGTCAAATTTGGTTGTGGTTTGACTGCTTGTTTAGCACCCATGATTTAATATAGCTTGTTAAAGGTCTATTTGTCACACTATACACCTTGATACTGTCTAGTCCGGTTCGGGCTGAGGGGGCATGTTAAGTATTTGTCTCACACCGGAAAACTAGAAAACAATAAAACGCTATATAAGACTTTGAGCAACTCCTCCTATCAGGTTGACTTTTAAGGATGAAACCCCAAGTTCAGCAATTTAATAGGAAGTATTGTGATAAAAATTGATGTTCCTTCCGTCCCAAATTATAAGACACTTTACGGTTTACGATGTTTGACCGACAATAAAGCAAATTGATGTTCCTTCTGTCCCAAATTACAAAACTTGCAAAATATAATTCAAATTTCATCAAATTTTGATATATAAAGTAAGAGATTAAGAGTAATTTGTGTTGATCAAGTAAATAGGAAAGATATTTTATAAAATGGGACTGGGGGAGTATTACATTGTCAATTTTTATGTTATTTTATTATTAGCATTTTTGTGTTAAATAAAAGGGCTTCCGATTTTATTTTGAACATGGTCTTCCATTTGTCAAGGCTCAACTTGCATCACACGCTACGCTCGGGGTCAAGGCCAATATATATACTTGATCAATATAATATGTAGTACTATCTCCGCCCCACTAACAATGAGAAATGAGGAGCTGGTTCGGTTAATAATTATTAAGAAAACTGAATTTATGCGTTTGATATTGAATTCATCAAGTAAGGATGTTTTTACTTGGACTGTTTTCAGTCCCAGGCCAGATCAGACTAGACCAGATCAGACCAGACCGGACTTGGATAGTTATAAAAAGACAAAGAGACCAAACATTACCAAACCAGACCAGACTAGATTGGTTCAAATCAGACCAGATCAGACCAGCAAATTACAGTCCAAGTAAAAACATCCTTAGAATAAAGTAAAAATGATCGGGAACACACAAATTTTGTCAAATTTGATACAAGATAATCCTAGTGTGACGGATCGAAAAGGAAAAATGAGAAACTTTACCCGGAGGAGAAAGTGTAAAATATATTGCGTGATAAATCCAATACAAACCTTAACTCGACTCATCCATTGAGTAAATCTTATGCATCATCTAAAATGACGCTACAGGTTAATCTATACGAGTATATTAAATCCCCATTATTCAGAGGAAACTGATTTAAACACTCGCCCGGCCTATTGCTAATAGTGGTTAGCAGTACATGAATTTGATCAACTAAAGTAGATGTTTAGAAAGATAATGAAGTAGACCTGAGCCATCTGAATATATTTAGTTCGTTAAACCTGATTGTCATCCCAAATCCAGTGGCTTTCCATGCATTGGATGCGTACCTGGTGGGTAGTTATCAAGTCATGTACGTGATTATTGTAATGCATAAAAATGGGTTTTGGTTGCTCGCATAACATAATCAGGTTTAGTCTCAATGGACGCGCCCGACTTTTCCTAAGATCTTGTGCTTGATATGGACCGGCCCACCCGTGAGGTGGTCGAGGCTGACAAAACATCTCAAGTCTCACTCATCTATTATGTCACTTCTTGTATACCGAAGCTGATCCGGAGCAATAAAAATGGCCAAGTACCTTATGGTCTGACTATGACACTCATAAGGAGGAGATCATAGGTTCAAATCTCATCCCAGTTTAAGGATGTTGACATTAACATTGAACAGATATTATAATAGATTAGAAAGATTTGCTAAAAAACCCTAGGGATAACCCGGTTCTAGTCTGACCAGCCCA